GTGTCTGCCGGTGTCTATATAGCAGGATACTGAGTCCTTTGGGTGTATACCTAGGCTTGTTATAGCTGGGCCATAAGGCAAATGTATTAATGGCTTATTGAAGAATCTCCACACTTATTTCCTAATTCAAGAAATCCACAGGATTGAATTCCCACAACAATTTCTAATGTCTGCACCAGTTTTCATTCCCACCAACAGTGAGAATGAGGGTCCCCTTTTCTGGTATCCGAACTAGCATTTGTTACCATTTGTTTTCTTACTCTTACCGACGCTGACTACATTAAGATGAAATCTCAAAGTTTTGATTTGCATTTCCCTGGTTAATAGGATGTAGTACACTTTAAAAAACATTTTCTTGGCTTATTTGTAAACTCCGTTTAACTCTCAAGCCCACATTTTTGTTGAGTTGTTTGTTTTCTTGATGCTTTGGTTTTTGAGTTCTCTGTGTTTTCTAGATATTAATCTGCCATGGGATCTACCATGGGATCTGCCATGGGATCTGCCGTGGATCTGCCGTGGATCTGCCATGGGATCTGCCATGGATCTATAGCTGCCAAAGATCTCCTCTCATTCCTTTGACTCTTTCTTCCACAATATGGATACTTTTAGGTTCAATCAGAGATTTATTTTTAATCCCAAACATTATAACACAGTTTAGAACCAAAGATATACTGATTCGCTCCCTGCCAGGGGAGACAGTCAGAAAACAGTAAAAGTCTATTTCTGAAAGAAAACTGTATGTGCAGGAAAAACCCTGTAGTTCCTAACACAGTAGTCCCAAGTCTGAGCTGAGGGCCTCACGTGGTGTGACAGTGTACATAGTCTAGAGCACATGTGTTACATGTTCCAAACCAAGGCTGCAGCGCAGTGATAGAGACAGCCCGGGCCAGCACATCTGGAAATACCTGGGACTCACTCATTTTTGGTCATTGCACATGCAACAGCCTTTTACTATTGCCGTATTTTTATTTTAATACTTTTTTACAATTTCCACATTCAGTGACATGACCTCATATGGTGTCACAACCCCACAGTTTAAGATGCTGCCCCTTAAATGTCAGGCGTGTATTTCCACAGTTCTGAAGAATGGGGACTCAAGGTCCAGGGGCTGCCTGGCTTAGTTCCTCATGAAAGCCAGTTTTCCATCTTACAGATGGCTGTCTTCAGGCTGCATCCTCACAGCTAGGACAGGACCTGGTACCTCTCACTCTTCTTATAAAGACCCTAATCCCATCCCAGGGGCTCCACCCTCTTGATCTCATCTAAGAACTGAGTTATCTCTCAGGTCCAGCACCGTAACAGCAGGTGTTAGGGCTTCAGACATGAGCTCTAGAAAACATAAACATTCACTGTATGGCGGGCCAGCCTTGGTGACTGCAACTGCTCTGACTCAAAAGTGTGTGGGAGGGTCTAGACTAGGGTGAGACTGCGGCCAGAGTGAAAGGCATGGCACAGGGTGAGGCAACAGTTTAGTGGTGACTCTGAAGTGTTGTGAAAGAGAATGTATGGTTAGGAGTCTTTTGATTTTTAAGGAATGTTGAATTAAATCTGGGACATTTCAGCAGAACACCCACAGGAAGATGAACCTCAAGAGAGTTCGTTTCTGCAGACTTGCCCTGTTAGCAGAAAACACAAGCCACATGTTTATGATTTCCACAGCCACATTTAATTTTTTTATTCTTTGTGTCTTCCACATCATGCATTTCTATCCCATTCATTTCCTCATCCCTTTGTATACACCCTCTCTCCTTGTAACCTCTCCCCCCACCGCCAAATAAAATGAAATTTAAGAGAAAAAAGAAAAAAAGAGAAGGAAAAAAATCAATCTCATCATGGAAGCTGTAGTGTGACACAGTGAGTCATGCAGTAAACCGTTTTGTCCATACGTCTTTACTTGCAAGTGTTCATTGCAGAGTCATTGGTCTAGTTCGAGGTCTCTAGTTTCTGCTACACTGTTGATGCTGGTCCCTCACTGGAACTCCTCTTGGATATCCTCATGTTACCCTGTGTTATAGAAATCCTGTGGTTTTGGGTCTACAGGACTGGCCCTTCACATGTTCCAGCAGATCACAGATGGTGTGGATGTTGGGGTGGGCCAACACACAGCCTGGTTCTGGGCCTGTGTAATTGCAGGGTTGGTCAGCATGCCAGCTCTCCCTTGTCCTCACTACCAGGGTGGGCTCTCCCTCATTGTCCTGGCTAGTTCACCTTTTGCAGCAATGAGCAAGGGGCAGGTCCAGTTTTTCTTCTTTCATGTCCTTAGGGTCAGATCCCCCACACCTACACCTTCATGGTCAGCTCTACTGTGTTGTACAGGCATGGGTACTGCAGCTGATGAGGGGCAGGGCCAGCTCTCCAACCTGCCTTAGGTGTTGGTCCCCCGCCCATGCTGCCATATGTCCACAGTCACATTTTATGATGCTTGCCACGAAACCTGATGACCTGAGTTTGATTCCTGGGACCCGTGTGGTCCTCTGACCACTGCACATATGCTGCAGCATATCCCTCACCCACAAAATTAATAAAAATCCCTTAAAAGAATATAAGAAAAAAGTGACAATTTTTTCTTTATTTTATTAATAAAAATTTTTCATTTATTTTACATCCTCACCATAGTTTCCCCTCCTTCCCCCACCTCCCGTCTGCCCCCCATCCACTCCTCCTCTGTTTCTGTCCAGAAAGGGGCAGGCCTCCCATGGGTGTCAACAAAGCATGGCATATCAAGTTGAGGTAGGACTATGCTCCTCCCTTTGAATTAAGGCTGGGCAAGGCAACCCAGTATGGGGAACAATGACAGTTTTAATAATGTTTTATGTAACACAGTTTATCCATGGTTCTATCCTCTATCAAAGAGTCAGTATAGCTCAGTCTAACCTCTCCATGTGCATGCTTTGTGTGCTGGCTAATATTATGTCAACTTGACACAGACTAGAGTCATCTGGGAGGAGGGAACCCCAATTGAGAAAATGCCTCCATAAGATTCAGCTGTACTCAAGCAAGCCTGTAAAGCATTTTCTTCATTAGTGATTGATGTGGGAGAGCCCAGACCATTGTTAGTGGGGTCATCCCTGGGCTGGTAGTTCTGAGTTCTATAAGAAAGTAGGCTGAGCAAGCCCTAGGGGGAAAAGCCAATAAGCAGCATGGCTCGCTCGCGCTCTCTCTCTCTCTCTCTCTCTCTCTCTCTCTCTCTCTCTCTCTCTCTCTCTCTCTCTCTCTCTGTTGTAAATAAATGAATGTTGGCTTCTGTGTGGTACCACTCAAATGTGGAGGTCAGAGGCCTCTGTATCAGCTCCAGCCTCCAGGTTCTTGCCCTGTTTGAGTTCCTGTCCTGACTTCCTTCAATGATGTACTATGAGGTGGAAGTGTAGGCCAAATTAACCCTTTCCTCTCCAGTTTTGGTCATGGTGTTTTATCAAAGCAATAGAAACCCTAACTAAGACACCTTGTGAGGACATGATCAGTAGTTATATAGGCCTAGGTAGGTGAAGTCAGCCCTTGTCTTTGCCTATGTTAATAAACTGGAGTCTGGGTCATTCCTGCCTCTCATCATTTGAATGTAAACAGCACTGTCAGGGATGGTGACACACACCACTTCTGCTCAGAAAGACCCAATGGTGTGGTTAGCATTGCTGGGATGAAGAAATGAAGCAAATTGCATTCTCTGTGCTTGCTCCAAGGTTTATTCCCGATACCCCTGTGTGGGGGTCCCCTTTGCCCCACCTCTCAGTAACACTTCTGGTGGCCACAGTTCCTCATTTATATCTTGTGGATATGAAATGTTTTTTCCTCCTCTGTTTGTGTTTTTCTGATGATAAATGATTTTGAACCTCTTTTCATATGTCTAAGAACTCTTACATTTTTCTTCATATGAAAATAATGGATACTCACCCATATATACATAATTCAAATATAAATATATTTTCATATGCCACATAGTGTTGTATTCATGTATGTATCATATAATATAGCCCTTCAAATATAAACATTTGCTAGATGTCTGTCTGCTATCTGCTAAATATTTGTCTAGACTCTAGTCACTGGGACTATACTAGTCAAGAAATAGCTCCAAATGCCCACTATCCTGGAGTTTGTTTTAACATGTAGACGGACCACATACCACCACCCCCCCACCGCAAAAAAAAAAACAGATAAAAATAAAATACCATGTATCATGAAGTTTTTTTATATCTACTTTATGTGGACGAGTCTTTTGTCTGCATATATGTATGTAAACCACATGCGTGTAGTGCCTGCAGAGACCAGAAAAAGGACATTGAATCCTCTAGAACTGGAGTTACAGATGGTTGTGAGCTGCTTTGTGGGTGCTGGGAATCAAACCCAAGTCTTCTGGAAGAGCAGCCAGCATTCTTAGCCTCTGAGCCATCTCTCCAACCCCATAGCGAGTAATTTTCTGGAACTTAAATTTGAGTTTGGCTCAGCCACTTCACATCATTAAATCATGTTTTTTGTAATTGTAAAAGGGAAGTGGTAATAATCACAGCTTTATAAGTTTACGAAGTGCATATGAATAACTTCACACAGTATCTATATTAGAGAAACAAAAACAATGATGGAAATCAAAATAATGTGGTTGCATTTTTTCTCTTTCTACTTTTTCTTCAATGATAGTTTTTAGTTAGAATTACTGGAATTTATACTTAATGTGTCTTCATTATTGCTGAAGTATTAGGTCTCATTTGGCTGGCAACCTACTGTGAATTTGGCTGATTTTGAGATGTGTTATATCCAGATTTTTTAAATTTCAAAAGCCAAGAGCCCAAGAACCTACATGTTTTACAAAACTACATTGTGTTAAATTGCCCAAAATATAGGAAAATCTACAGAACAGTCTGAACTCAGAGTGGTGGTGTTATGTTACTGTGTCTGGACTGACACTCAGTTTAGCAGTGTGGTTATGAAGACAGTCTGTGCCTGGTCCTCTGCAAAGATGCCTGTGACTTTGTCAAGCTTTGCAACAACTGTTTGTCCTTCTTTCTTAGATAATGATGTTGAAAATGATCTTCAACCAGACATCCGTTGAGCAATGCAAAACACAGACGGGAAAGGAGAAGGAGTGCAACTCGTTCCTGATTGCAGTTCGCCTGGCTTCGCTGAACCAGATCCTGGACCCCTGGGTTTATCTGCTGCTAAGAAAGATCCTTCTTCGGAAGTTCTGTCAGGTAGCAAACGCTGTCTCCAGCTGCTCTAGTGATGGACAGAAAGGGCAGCCCATCTCATTATCTAACGAAATAGTACAGCCAGGGCCGTGAAAGTGAACATAACCCATGTGCACACTCAAGCTTTTGCAGCCAATGTCCCTAGCCCTTACGGACTGAGGCATCTCTGGTATGCTGCTGTTTATGCATTGGAATGGAATTTTTTGATATAAAGCTAGAGGGTCTGAGAAGCATAGATAATCCCTTCTGTGCCAAAATCCTGAAATACAAACAGAGGAAAATCTGTTACTAGCAGTCTAGCAGTTTGAGTCTCTGCCATTTGTAGCTGTATATGGAGTTATTTATGTGATGAAACACTTAATGATAAATGACTTTGAGCTACTTGGAGTATGGATGGTTGCTGTCCCAGCATACTGTGTGGGGAGTTTGGAGTTTAAACCCTTGGGCAGGGGACCAGGTCATAGAGATTTGTTTTGTCCAAGGACATTGGTTGTGTTCTCTTTCACCGTTTCTGTTACTTTTGCTTCCTCCTTTTTTTCCACTCAAAATTTAAAGAATCTACTTGAGTTTTTAAAAATGTATAAGCTATCCACATATTTGTTGTCTTGATGCTATTTGAATATTAAATATTGCTCAATAGATTGTTAACTCATAACCTCACAAACTTAACTTTTGGTTGGGTTGGTAAGGAAGTTTACTCCTTAACTAAATAAGATCCAATTCCACTTTTTTCAAATACGACAGTTTATGTCTACCCACTGCTGCTAAATGTTCTTTCTTTAGAATACATTTGCCTTCTTAGAAGCCTTGGGGAGAAGCATAACTGAGCTATGGGGAGTCATGAAGCAGTGTTTCAGAATGCTACCTAAAGACTGGATTGAGAACTGCGGGTTAGTCCTATTCCCACCAGTGTTCTCTGGTCTTTAAATACCAATTCTGATTCTAAAAGAAACAGAAGTTTAGAAATTGAATAAAGATTTTTCTATGCTTGGCTTTCTTATAAGATAGGAATAGTAATGATGACTTCTCTTCAGCCTTTGCCCTGCCCTTGGGTGAGCGCTTTTACACAGCTCTGCTGCTTGTTTGGCTTTCCACAGCCTATAAGGGCACAAGGCTTGAGGCTTTGGTTTAATGTGGCACAGATAAATTACATCTGGAAGCTTTGGAATTTGAGGGGTTAAAAGTTACCCCACAAAAATTGTGCTCCTTCAGGACCATCCTAAATAATGCCCTTATTCTTTGGCACCTCATTTTGCCAGTTCATTAATATTTAATGTGAAGATTTTGATTTGTACTTTATTGCTCCCTAGTTCCTTCAAAGCTTGAGATTTCTTTCTGCTTTTTACATAATGACATTTTCTTTGTGATTTAGTATCAGTTTGGGTGAGAGTTGATTGTAACTGTTACACTGTATCTGTTAGGTTAATTATGCTCACTGGCCTAGGTGAGTTAGGATAATCAGTTTAAATGATCACATCAAAAAGTGAGTCAGAATATAAAGTCTAGTGCAGGTGCTGACACCATCCAGGATGGCTTCATAATCCAGATGTTAAAATAACGACAATAATATAGGGCTATATTAGACTAGTCCTGTTACAAAAATCTCCTACTGATATGTTTCATAGAGTATAAGACAACATTTTTCTCCCCCAAACTTAAACAAGTTATTGAAGAGAGGCTTTGCTTTTGGGGTGCTCCCTGAGCACTTCTGTGATCAGGTAGACACACACTGCTGGATTTGAGTGGTGAAGTGTAATTTTGTTACTTCTTCCCACACTTACTGTAGCATCTGGAATATAGGAGTTTCCAATAAACATTGTACCCTGGACAAGTAAATGAAATTCAGCTAAAACTTCTGTTCTCTCCTGGGGCAGTTGACAAATCTGTTACAGTTCGTTCAGCCCATTAAAGCAAATGACTTCTTACTTAGTCGATTAAACAGAGTTCTGCCTTTAGAGAAGTTTGCCATGTTGTTGTACAGTATGGTGTAATATCCTCTAGAATAGTCTAGAGGATGTATCTTCAGCTGGTAAGAGAGGTTACTATCAAAAAGGTATCATTTTTCACCAAGATGCAAAAACAGAACATGCTAAAACTTATCCTTGACTACAAAACCAGTTCCTGCCCAGGGGTTCCATAGTAGGAGTGAATGAATGACTGTTTTTGAACAAGCTTGAAAAGGAGGCAGAAAGGGAAGAAACTGTGAGTTTGTTACCTCAGAAGCCATTGGTTAGTCTGGCAAAACATGGTAGGAAGTAAAAGTTCCCCACAGTCTCAGCTTGGGAATGGTGGGAGTTCAGTTGTGTGCTGTGGACAAAGTGGGCTACTACAGACAGAAGGGGGCATCTCCATTCCTGAGTTTGATTCACTGGCCTTGAATTTCACTCCAAGGCAGCTGATTTATCCATGCATACACATGCACAGGAAGCAGAATGCATGCATAGATTATAGCCCTTTCCTGAACTTGAAAGTATTAATTAGAGTCTCAGAAAATAACATGGAAAAAAACAAGTAAAAAAGATGTAGAAATGCATGTAAAATTAGTGTCGATGGTTTTCAAATGAATTTAGGCTTCATGTTATGTCATAGATGGAAAAGATAATAAGTTGTCAAATACAAAGAGTTAATGTTTCAAATAAATTAGACTTAGTGAATATCTTAAAAATACTTTTCATTTGGAGAAACAAAATGTGTTACTTTTACATCAGAGTCAGGCATGGTGGTTCCCAGATGAGCAAGGAGAGGCCACTCTGGCTCACAGAGTGTTTTTCTGACAGCCAGGTAACACAGAATAATAACAACAGCAAAACAGTAAGCTTTATCAAATTTGCCTAATGTTGTATACCAAGATATTTTAAATAAATATGATTAATTACAATAGGTTTAAACTATTCTGAAATGAAAGATATACATATATTTCTGCTTAATTCTTCTTTATCTCATAAAGGATCTCTTGACAGAGTTACAGAAAAATATTATAAAATGTCCCATATGTGAAGGGCCAGACTATAGCTGAAGTTTTCCTGTATCCTGCCTGGCCCACAGTCAGGACAAATCTCCCAAGTAAATACACAGAGGCCTATATTATTTTTAAACTATAGCCATGGCAGACTTTCTGTTAGCTAGCTCTTATATCTTAAATTAGCCCATAACTATAAATCTATGTATCACCACATGTTCCGTGGCTTTACCTGCCTCCCATTACATGTTGCTCCTTGGGCAGCTCACTGGCGTCTCTCCCTGCCTTCTTCCTGTCTCTCTCTTTGAATTTGCCTCCTGCCTCTAAGCTGCCTTGGCATAGGCCAAACGGCTTTATCAACCAATCAGAACAACACATATTTGCAGCATACAGAAAGACATTTCTCCATCACCAGACTAGAATCTCACAGGCAGGACCCAAAGTGGTGGCACCTTGGCTATATCCTGATGCTTGAACTTTAGATGGATTTGATCCCTTATTTTATCAATGGTTTTCACAGTGTTATTGGTTGGGGCCCCAAATTAGTGACTGGCTTTCAGGTTTCCCATCATAAAAATTATTCAATTATTCAGTAGTTCTTTGGAGTTGAGATCAGCTCAAAGCTGAAAATAGAAAATCTTTGCTCTTCTGCATTTGTTGGTACGTATGTTGCCAGTTACTCCGAAAGTACCTCAAGCTGCACACAGTGTAGGGAAACGGCTTGACACGTTTTTGTTGTGTAAATACAGAAAAAAAGCTTAACTAGAGTAATTAAAATGTCAGTGTTTTATCTACCCAGTCACAGACTGTGACAGATTTTCACAGGTCCTTATTTAATATTTGCTTTCTGATTTTTATTTTTTTTTGGTTCTAATATGTCAAAATTGAAATCTAAATAAATGTAAAAAAATTGTGCATCTCTGGTTAAGCTCAGAGATGTGTTTTTTGTGTTGCAATAAAGAGTTAAGCTTCAGCTGACATTTTCACAGTATTGTGTATGGAAGTATTTCAAAATTTAAAAGTCAACATGAGGAAACAGTTGGCAATGGCAAAAGAAGCATGAACCAGGAATTAAGGAAACTTTTTACTTTATGTATCATGTTTTTGGTCCCTAAGGTAAAGATCATGTGACTAACCATGAATATTTAGCTCCCACCATTACACTGTGACACCATAAGCAGAGAACATTCTCTGCAAAGACAACTCCACCACATACATCATAATCACCTACATGTCTGAGTCCCACTGAGTCAAAGACTATTATTTTCAGGAGTTTCTCACTGGCCAGCTGTGTGTTCTAAACATTAAACAGCGGGTGCACTGGCTTCCCCTCTATCTTTGGAACTAATTTGCCAGTACCGCCTACCTGCCTTATCCTGCTTGTCTGTCCTCTCAGAGAGAGCAGGGAACAGAAACATTTGCTGTCAGTGAGGCTTTGGTTGTTTCTAGTAGTTTCAACGGATCAATTTTATTATGGAAGTAAAGAGAGTGAGGAAAGAAAGAACTCTCCCAGAACAAAATTAGCCTTTTCATGTTTTTTTTAGTATCTTGGAGATAATTCCACATCTCATGTCCTTTTTAAATGTGAAGCTTTAGATTCTGGTATAAAATACTTTAGATTTAAAGTATATTGCTCTTTTAAAGTAATCAGGTCTTGGGACAGTATGTAGCCAGTCATGAAAATTGAGCAATCATTTAAAAATAGTTTCCTTGTTTAGTTTTCAGATTCTGGAAAAAAAAATCAAGATTTATTGAGAATCGAGGGGAGATGTATGCAGTTTACATACTCTTCAAGATGCTTGGTGCTTTAGAAAGAATAGTCAGTGGGAGGGGCCTGGAGAACATGGGAACAGCAGGGAGACTTGTCCACTGCAACCCATTGAAATCCTTGGTCTTTTAAGGCAGAATTCAGAAGCAGAGACAGAGAGGGACTTCATTTAACTTTACACATTGCTCATTCTGAAGACAGAGAGGTGTGGCCTGGGCTTGCTTTTTTAAAAGAAAATGATGAACTCATTCACGCAGATAATCAGTAAACAAGAGG